GAGGACACAGTGGCCCCATGATCCCCTATTGCCAGGGGGGCCCCATGAGTTGTCAGTCCACCCCTTTGCCCAGTGTTGTTTATCAACACAGGGAACTGTTCTGTGATTGGCTGAGCTGATCAGCCAGTCCCAGCCATCAATTATTGACTGGGACCCGGTGATCAACTCGTGCTGTGCCGAATCAGAGCACAGCTAGAATGGTGGATCGCGTACCAGGTATGCCATCCAGCACAGGGAGCCCACTTTGACGCCAAACATCCAACGGCTAACCAACTCATTCCCATCTAGGCAGAGTAGTAAGATCTAAACTGCAAAGCCTGAGCTAGGCTGGATGGAACATTTTTGAACATTTTTAAACATCTGATTGGCCGAGCTGATCAGCCGGTTCCGGCCATCAATCATTGGCCAAGACCCGGTGATCACCTCATGCTGTGCCAAATCAGAGCACAGCCAGAAGGGTGGATCACGTACCAGGTAAGCCATCCAGCGCATGGAGCCCGCTTTGCCGCCAAACATCAAACGGCTAACCAACTCATTCCCATCTAGGCGGAGTAGTGAGATCTGAACTGCAAAACCTGAGCTAGGATGGATGGAACATTTTTTGAACATTTTTGAACATTTATTTGGTTGTGTTTAACATTGACATCGTGGTCAGAAAAAGGAAGAGGTGAAGTCAGAGAAGATGGAAAGCCTGTCTGTGGTTTGGTAGACAGAAAAGCAGCCAATATTCTATGTGTGAAGAACTAAACAGAATCAGCTCTCAGAGAATCCTCGGCGGTAAAAAGCCCCAACGGGCAACCATGATGAACAGAATTGGCAACTGCCCCAATTTTTAAACTAGTTTTCACAGTAACCTGGACATGGAAGAGCTTTGCGCAGAATTATTATTATTATTATTATACAGGATTTATGGCACCAACAGTTTGCTCAGCGCTTTACAATATAACGGGAGACAATACAGCAACAATACAGTTCAATACAAGAGGGATAGGAGGGCCCTGATCCTGGGAGCTTACAATCTAGGCTAAAAAAAAAAAGGTAGGAGGGCTGTACAGACAGTAATGAAAACGTGACCATAACTTTTCTTTAACCCCTCGCTCTCCTGAGGATTTACCCCCCTTCCTGACCAGGCCAAATTTTTTGCGTTACGGCGCTGCGTTACCTTAACTGACAAATTGCGCAGTCATGCAACGCTGCACCAAAATAAAATTTCCTTTTTTCCCCACAAATGGAGCTTTCTTTCGGTGGTATTTGATTGCCTGTGTGTCTTGTTTTTTGTGCTATTAAAAAAAAAATCCGACAATTTAAAGAAAAAAAACCTTTTTGCTATAAAACACGTTAAAAAAAAAAAAAAAAAAAAACGCCAAAATTTATGCCAAAATGTATTCTGCTCCGTGTCTTTGCTAAAAATAATATGTGTAAATTAATTGGTTTACGTGAAAGTTATAGCGTATGGCGGTATAGATACTGGAATTTTTTTTTTTTTTTTTTTTTTTTTATAAGTAATGGCGGTGATCAGCGACTTGTAGCGGGACTGCAGCGAGCATTCTGACACTGGGGGAACTGACATCCCCCCAGTGACACCAATACAGTGATCAGCGCTTAAAAAAAGCACTGACACTGTACTAATGGCACTGTGCAGGAAGGGGTTAACACGAGGGAAGGGCAAAGGGATTGGGGGTGGTAAAACCATGATTTACCTGCAGGGTTTTACCGCCTCCAACTTTACATGTGAACAAACCCTTAGGGTGCTGCTGCCGACTAAGTGCTCATTAACAGGTGCAGCAGGCACTGATGCTCTGCAAAGTGATCCCAATGTGTTTGACAGGTGGTGAGGAGGCGATATTTTCCTCCCCACCACCTGATTTAAACCCATGATTGCCGTGCAATGCACGTGATTGTGACACGGTAATACGGCAATTCGAAGTTTAAATCACATGAGGACGCAACACTGTGGCCGGTTATATTTGACTTCTCCTTGTTGTTCCGGTAGATCTCTGCCTCTTCAAGGTTGGCTACCCCTGCTACAGAGAAAGAAGAAGAAATCTTTTAGATCAGGGGTCTCCAATCTTTTTTAAGCAAAGGGCCATATACTGTCCTTTAGACTTTAGGAGGGCCGGGTTAGGGACAGTGAGGATAGAAAATGTCCTGGCCCCATCATCAGTGAGAATAAACATGGTCGCAGGGTGATGGTCAATAGGAATAGTGCCCCATCATTGATTTTAGTGGGAGGAAAAATGCTCCATCATTGGTGTCAGTGGGAGGAATCATTGGTGTTCAACATTGGTGTCAGTGGGAGGAATAGTGCCCCATCATCGATTTTAGTGGGAATGGAAAAAATCAGTGCCCCATCATTTGGTGTCAGTGGGAGGAATAGTGCACTATCATTGGTATCAGTGGGAGGAATAGTGCTCCATCATTGGTGTCAGTGGGGGGAGTAGTGCCCCATCATGGGTGTCAGTGGGGGGAGTAGTGCCCCATCATTGGTATTGGTATCAGTGGAGGAATAGTGTCCCCATCATTGGTATCAGTGGAGGAATAGTGCCCCATCATTGGTATCAGTGGGGGGCCCCGTCATTGGTGTCAGTGGGAAGAATAGTGCCCCATCATTGGTGTCAGTGGGAGGAATAGTGCCCCATCATTGGTATCAGTGGGTGAGGAATAGTTGCCCCATCATTGGTATCAGTGGGGGAAAAGTGCCCCATCCTTGGTGTCAGTGGGCGGAATAGTGTCCCATCATTGGTATCAGTGGAGGAATAGTGTCCCATCATTGGTATCAGTGGGAGGAATAGCGCAGTATCAGTGGGAGGAATAGTGCCCCATCATTGGTTTCTGTCAGTGGGTGTCAGGAATAGTGCCCCATCATTGGTATCAGTGGGAGGAATAGTGTCCCATCATTTGGTATCAGTGGGAGGAAATAGTGTCCCATCATTGGTTTTAGTGGGAGGAATAGTGCCCCGTCCATTGGTGTCAGTGGGAGGAAAGGAATAGTGCCCCAATGGTATCAATGGAGGAAATAGTGCCTGCCCCGTCATTGGTGTCAGTGGGAGGAATAGTGCCCCATCATTGGTGTCAGTGGGAGGAAAATAGTGCCCCGTCATTGGTGTCAGTGTGAGGAATAGTGCCCCCATCATTGGTTATCAGTGGGAAGAATAGTGCCCCATCATTGGTGTCCAGTGGGAAGAATAGTGCCCATCATTGGTGTCAGTGTGAGGAATAGTGCCCCCATCATTGGTATCAGTGGGAAGAATAGTGCCCCATCATTGGTATCAGTGGGAGGAAGAATAGTGCCCCATCATTGGCGTGTCAGTGTGAGGGAATAGTGCCCCATCATTGGTGTCAGTGGGTAGGGAATAGTGCCCCATCATTGGTGTCAGTGGGGGGAATTAGTGCCCCATCATTGGTGTCAGTGGGAGGAATAGTGCCCATCATTGGTGTCAGTGGGGGGAATAGTGCCCTTTTCATTGGTGTCAGTGTGAGGAATAGTGCCCCGTCATTGGTGTGTTCAGTGGGAGGAGAATTAGTGCCCCGTCAATGGTGTCAGTGTGGGAGGAATAGTGTCCAATCATTGGTGTCAGTGGGGGGAATAGTGCCCCATCATTGGTATCAGTGGGGGGAATAGTTGCCCCATTATTGGATTTTGTATCAGTAGGAGGAATAGATGCCCCATCATTGGTGTCCAGTGGAGGAATAGGCCCCATCATTGGTCGTCAGTGGAGAATAGTGCCCATCATTGGTATCAGTGGAAGGAATAGTGCCTCATCATTGGTTTTAGTAGGGAGGAATAGTGCCACCGTCATTGGTATCAGTGGGAGGAATAGTGCCTCGTCATTGGTGTCAGTGGGAGGAATAGTGCCCCGTTCATTGGTTTCAGTGGGAGGGAATAGTGCCTCGTACATTGGTGTCAAATGGAGGAATAGTGCCCGTCATTGGTGTCAGTGGGAGGAATAGTGCCCCGTCATTGGTGTCAGTGGGAGGAATAGTGCCCCATCATTGGTGTCAGTCGGAGGAATAGTGCCCCATCATTTGGTATCAGGGGAAGAATAGTGCGCCCTATCATTGGTATCTAAGTGGGAGGAATTAGTGCCCCATCATTGGTATCAGTGGGAAGAATAGTGCCCCATCATTTGTATCAGTGGGGGGAATAGTGCCCCATCATTGGTATCAGTGGGGGGAATAGTGCCCCATCATTGGTATCAGTAGGGAGCGAATAGTGCCCCATCATTGGTGTCAGTGGGGGAGTAGCACCCCATCATTGGTATCAGTGGGAGGAAATAGTGCCCCATCATTGGTGTCAGTGGGAGGAGGAATAGTGCCCCCATCATTGGTGTCAGGTGGGGAGGAATAGTGCCCCATCATTGGTGTCAGTGGGAGGATTAGTGCCCAATCATTGGTGTCAGTGGGAGGGAATAGTGCCCCATCATTGGTATCAGTGGGAGGAATAGTGCCCCATCATTGGTATCAGTAGGAGGAATAGTGCCCCATCATTGGTGTTCAGTGGGAGGGAATAGTGCCCCTATCATTGTTAATCAGTAGGAGGAATAGTGCCCATCGGAATTGTGCCTTATCATTGGTTTCAATGGCAGAAGTACTGCCCCATTGTTGGTCTCAGTGAGAGGAATAGTGCCTAAGTGCCAGATAAAGGGTAGCAAAGGGCCACATCCAAACCTCAGGCCGCAGTTTGGAGACCACTGCTTTAGAAGAAAAGAAGAAATCTCATAGAGGAGTTACTCTACCAACAGGTAAAATGTGAACAACCTATTATATGTCCACTTATGCCCACATTTGCATTGCTTTCAGTACAGCCCTCGAATTTTCTATGCCGGAGCTGGCCAGAGAGGGGGTGTAAAGCTGGCCACGGACTGATATATTGTAAATTAGTCTGGTTCAGCAGGGACTGACCAAATGGAAAACTAATATCCGATTGGCTACAACCTATGATTAGTGTATTCTAAAAATGGCGGCTTCTGCTGTCAGAATCAGGGGCGGACTGACAACTCATGGGGCCCCCGGGCAATAGGGGATCATGGGGCCCCTGTGTCCTTGCCCAAACTCAAAAAAGCCTATGAAAAAGGTACCAGGGGCATCTCATGGGGCCCCCTACTGACCCCGGGCCCTCGGGCAGTGCCCGAGTTTTCCAAATGGTCAGTCCGCCCCTGGTCAGAATGCAATGTCCCGGCGAGGTGGGGGGGATTCCTCGCTTGTGTGGATGGAGGAATCTGTTATTTTTAAAGGCAGCTTAAAAACAATAATAAACCTAAAACCAAAAAAGTCACAAATTGCAGCTCACCAATCATTAGATGTGGTGGCTGCATTGTTTATTTTTTAGCTTTTTCCCCTCTGTTTTCACCTGGTGACCTGGCCAGTAACACACCTCCTGTTATAGAGCGCCCCCACTCTGGATGAAGGAGCACAGGGGGGCACCTTTGGATAGCAGCATTGTCAGTCAGGGGCGAGAGGGAGTGTTAGATGTACTAGCAGATTTAAAGCTGAACTCCGGCCAACACTATACAATCAGTTACAGTAACAATTTTTTTTTTCCTTTTGGGATAAAGTTTTATATAAAATAAATAAAAGCTGATCGTTGTATGCACTACCTGCCAGTGGTAGTTTGTCTCATCCCTTTATCTGACTAGTTTGCAAGGTAGCTTGTTTGTTTAGCTTTTTGAAAAACAACAGACTTACTGGCTGGACCACCAGTTCAAAATAGAAGAGAGAAAGACTTAAAAAGAAAACTAATGCAGCCATCACATGTAAGAATTGGTGTGTTCCTTGGCCTTTTGAAAAAAAAAAAAAAGATTTTATGATGCTGTTTGTTCACTAATGTTCTCTAACAAACCTCTGAGGGCTTCACAGAACAGTTTACATCACACACAGGGGGACTCTACTTATTAGGTGACTTCTGAAGGCAATGGGTTCCACTAGATATTAGTTAGGAGTATCAGAATAAAGGAGGCTGAATACAAATTTTTGCAAAAATGTTGAAAACCATTTCTCATTTTCCTTCCACTTCACAATTATGTGCCACTTTGTGTCGGTCTATCACATCAAATCCCAATAAAATGCATTGACGTTTTTGGTTGTAACATGACAAAATGTGGAAGATTTCAAGGGGGAGGAAGACTTTTTCAAGACGCTGTAGGTAAGTGTAGCACTACCCCCTTGAAGGCCGCAGAATTTTGCTGGGTCCCCCTAAGCTCTGCACAGCCAGGCAACACGCATTTTCCACACTTTCTCTCAGAGTTGGTAAAACAGTCCTTGAAGTGATTCTAAAGGGGGTTTTTTTTTAAAGAAAAAAATAACAAACATGTCTATACTTACCTGCTGTGTTAGTGGTTTTGCAGAGAGCAGCCTGGATCCTACTCTTCTTGGGTCCCCCGCAGGATCTCCTAGCCCCTCCTTCCTGTTGGGTGCCCCCACAGCAAGCAGCTTGCAATGGGGGCGCCCACTGCTCTGTGTGTCCATTCACACACAGCCGCAGCTCAGCCTCGATCTCTCTCTCTTCTCATTGGCTAACTGGCTGTGATTGACAGCAGTAGGAGTCAATGGCTCCTGCTCCTGTCTCAGCCAATGAGAAGAGGGAGTCCTGGCATAGCCGAGACTCCAGTGCACATCACTGGATCGAGAGGGGGCTTAGGTGAGTATTAGGAGGGGCTGGGGGGATTCTGCACACAGAAGACTTTTTTACCTTCATGCATGAGCTTGTTTTTAATGTTTCTATCAGGGGTTAACAACTTGGATGGGGTCTAAGGGTTTTTGGCAACAAAATGTACAAAAATGTGGACAAAAATCAGCAACAGTCTTAGTAAAGAGCACTGAGTCCCCTTTGATGAACCTTCTCAGAAGCCAGGTGAAGCTCTCCTCATCCATCCGGCTGTCCTGAGGGCATCCCTGGGCTAGGGATTCCAAGATCTACCATGGTGTAGTCCCAGATGAGAACTAGTTGGGTATTGCACCTGACCACCCTCTCCCTTCTGTGGCCCAGAGGGTATAGAAGCACTGAAACTGTCCTGTTCCTGTAGTTAAGTGGGTTGTAGCTGCTTTAAGGCCTTACGCTGGGCTGGTTCCTTCCCTGCTGACAGGCTGTCTCTCCCAAGTAGACTGTAGGATAGTAGAGATTCTTCTGTCCAGCTCCAGCCTGTAGGTAGCCCCCCTCCACTGGGGCCCCTTCCCAGGCTCCACACCAGCAGCACCTTCCTTCAATCCATCTTCCACCCAACTCCTCTGCTGACTAGGCTCTCCCACATTTAAGGGCTTTCCTAGTCCCCATACCAGGCCTCCTCCACCCCTATTCAAGAAAGGTCCACCAGTTTCTAGAAGGGTGGGAGGGCTCCAGAATCCCTGACCTGTAGAGCCTCCCAGCTTGAACTGAGGTAACCTTACTGCTCTCCCACATTTAAGGGCTTTCCTAGTCCCCATGCCAGGCCTCCTCCACCCCTATTCAAGAAAGGTCCAACAGTTTCTAGAAGGGTCAGAGGGCTCCAGAAGCCCTGACCTGTAGAGCCTCCCAGCTTGAACTGAGGTAACCTTACTGCCCCACTCCCAGGCCAACTCATCCCAGGCTTCTAACGAGCCACTGACTAACCGAAAAAAAAAAATCTACCCCCCCCCCCTCCATACCCTCACAGCAGTAATCTTCTGGTGTCGCAGAGGTTAGGACAAGATGAGGAAGTGCTAGCCATGCCTTTCCTTGCTGCCTCCCCTCCTCCATTATTATAGCCATATTATAGCTTCTATGAGTGAAAAGCGCTCTGTGATTGGAGAACAGGCAGATGAATGAAAGGTCCTCTTCCATTCATGGATCGTTTTTCATTCATGAATTATTTGAACGGAGGAGGAGGGAGGTGGAAAGGGACCACATAGTCAGTACTCTTGATGATTGATATAACAGGTCCCTTGGCTTGTATTAACCTACGCATCACCAGAAGATTACCACTACGGGGGGGGGGGGGAGGGATCAGAGGACTGAAGATCTAAACTAAAACCACAGCCAGCAGCACAAGGGACCCCTCTCATTGGCTCTAAAGCTAGGCATGCATTTTTTTGTTTTTTCAATCCCCCCTTGGATGGAGGAATCCCCCCACCGCATCTGGACATTGCATTCTGACAGTAGCACCCACTCTTGGCTACAGACACTCATCAAGAAAAAAGTTCCAACATGTCCATTTGACAGAAGTCGATAAAAAAATTTGTGGGGGGGGGGGGGGGGGGGGGAGCGTCCACTGATCAAAACTCGGCTGGTTCCTGCTGAAGTGGCCAAATGTTAATCGGTGTATGGCCAACTTGTAGTCTAACGTTAACCAGCGGCTGCTGAACAAGAAAAATTTTCCAACATGTCCCTTCAATCAATGGACAGTACAGTATGTCCAGCTTGGTCATTGTACTCTAACAGTGGCACCTGATTTGTGCAGCCATTGGCTGCAGTCGCTGGTCGAGAAAAATGTTTTAAAAAGTCCCTTCAACAGAAGTTGATCACACAAGGGTGATCGCCACATACTGATCAAAAATTCAGCCGATCGCTTCTTAAGTGGCTGAATTTTGTTCGGTGTATGGCCAGCTTGGACAATGTGTTCTGACAGCAGAATCTGCATCTGTCTACAGAACTCCTCCAGGTAGAAATTTACAGATTGAAAAGGAAAGGTAATTATTAATAACATCCAACTACAATATGACTTGTGTCGCAATTGTATATGCAAGCCCTAAAATTATTGCTCTCACTCTGGTGTTTGCAGTGATACCTCACATGTATGGTGCGATCACTGTTTACATATGTGTGCTTGACCTATCGTATGCATTCCACTTTGTATGTGAGCAGGGGAGGACAGGGTGCTTTGAATTTTATTTTATTAAATTTTCTTTTATTATGTACTTTTAAATGTCTGTATTTTTTTTTTTTAAATCAACTTTCTTACAATCACAAGAGATGAACAGCATCCCTTGTGATAGCATGGGCCGTGACAGGTCCTCTTTATGGAGAGATCTGTAGTCTCTTATTATTATTATTATTATTATTATTATTATACAGTATTTATAAAGCGCCAATAGTTCGCTCAGCGCTGTACATTACAAAGGGGGACAGAACATGTGACAGAACAATACCAATACAATGCAAAACATGAGGGGATCGATGGCCCTGCTCTTTGGAGCTTACAATCTAGGAGACTTAGACCCCAGATCTCTCCTTTGGCTACCAAAGCAGGCAATCAGACACAGATTGGTCCAGTTGGCTGCTTTACTAGCCGGTAACGGGCCAGTAAGCACAAAACCGAGACCCTGAAAGTGGCAAAATACTCGTCGCTTGCAGTTTCTTAGACCATAGAGATGATCAGGGACATTCCGGTCCTTCATCATCTTTATGGTAAGCCGGTGGAAAAGCCAGTTTCAATCCTGGAAAAGCAGCGGAAGGATATAGTGGGGGGGGGGGGGGGCTCCCTTCCTCTGCATGTAAAAGCAATCCAGCTGCTATTTAGCTGCTTTGGATTGCTTTTACAGTTTTTCAGCAACATCGTCTGAAAACACTGATCCTGGGGAGGACAGGGTGCTTTTCAATTTTCTTTTAGAATTTATTTTTTCTTTTAAATGTTTTTACACTGTCTCTATTTTTTTTTAATCACTTTCTTACTATCACAAGATGAACAGCATCCCTTGTGATAGCATGGTCCGTGACAGGTCCTCTTTATGGAGAGATCTGGAGCCTCTTAGACCCCAGACCTCTCCTTTGGCTTCCAAAGCAGGCAATCAGAGACTGATTGGTCCAGTTGGCTGCTTTACTAGCCGGTAACCGACACACTGAGAGTGGCAAACTACTCGTCGCTTGCAGTTTCTTAGACCATAGAGATGCTCAGGGACATTCCGGTCCTCCATCATCTTTATGGTAAGCTGATGGAAAAGCCAGTTTCGATTCTGGGAAAGAAGGATATGGGGGGGGGGGGGAACTCCCTTCTTCTGCGTGTAAAAGTAATCCAGCAGCTATATAGCTGCTTGGATTGCTTTTACAGATTTTCAGCATCACCGATTGAAAACACTGATCCCAGGTTCATGGCTGCAGCTTTTCAGCCATGGCCCCGGTATACC